AGCTCCCAACGATCGGTCAGCGTGCCTTCTACATGGCTCGACTCCGATTCCGCGCGTTTCCCTTGCCTACTGTAACCTCTCCGGGCAATTTGCAACCTCGGACGAAATTATAGCAATTAAGAAACCCTACCGAAAATAATAATTTATGAAAATACACAGCAGTGACCGCGGTTGCTGCTTGTTACGCGACCGGAATTTGCGCAATGGCTACGTTCACTTCGATAAGTAAGCATGAACAGCTTGCACGCGTGTCCACGCAGAGGTATGTGTTAAGATTCGCGTTACGACCGGTTAACTAGCAACAATGTTGCAACCTTCTTTCGTACAGCTTGTACAACGAGAGTGATAGGAGGCTTCTTTGGATCGTTGTAAAATTCATGGAAAAATTGCAAACACTTCCTTTATGTTAGTTGAACGAAGGCGAACGGCTACTTTTCAGAGAGATTCGAAAAATGCGCGCACATACATACACTACCGGCCAAAAGTTTCGAATTACCTCCCACTTTTCGTCAATATTAAATCTGCTGCTACTTTTTCTATAGATTTGAAGTTTATCTCAATTCTACATTTATCAATTTATCTCATGTCAATTGATTCGAACGACAAAAGAATTCTCAAAGTCTGACTTCTTTCTGGAAATTTTTATGTAAATTGCAGTGCTCGGTTTGTTAACTTTCTTCTAAATTAAAAGCAACTGTAAACATCCTTATCGCGGTAGCGTGTTTAGTTGCACGCTGACGTTTCAAATTAATTTTCTTTTTTTTTTTCTTTCCGTACGTCGATAAGTTGGTAAATTTCACCGTCTAGACGTTACAGCGTCGCTTAATGACCGAACATGATGCACGCGCGGAATACACTCTCTGCACTTTCTTTTTGGAGCGAAATTCCAGCCCTTACGTAAACCCGCCTCGCCGTTGGACATACACAACGCTCGTCGTGGCCGGAGAAAAACGCCGCCTGCAACAAGTCGATCTGTCGCAATCTTATCAAACGCGGATTTCTCGGAAATAGGCTCGCGACTATGTTGCTACGTCCGCTCTACTTTCGTCAAATTGAAGGAAAAGAACGATTCGTTCGATCGAGCACGCCTCGTCGGAAGATTATGCAAGCCGTGTCACGGTTACATCAAAAGTCTGCACAACTGCGATTGCGTCGATGCGATGGAATGGTCTCACTGGCGGGGGGGAAACAACGAGGAAAAAAGAATAAGCTGGACGTAGATCGTTGGTCTACTTGCACAACGAGGTGTTCATAAATCCCCGTATCCGCGATGATGCTAGTGGTTTTTGCAAAACGATTGCGCAACACAAATGCAGGCGGTACACTTTCGAAACCGCCTGTAAAAGGGTTATTCAACGTTCGACCGTGGTTTCGCAATGTTTTCGCCGTGTTGCTTAAGGTCCGAAAAGAAAAGAAATAATCTCGATAACCGGGCCTCCGAGTATGGCATCCCAAGGCGAATTAAAACTCGATAAAGAACATTATGTCACACAGGTTGGGAACGAGCGGGAGAAAGCGCGATGTTTGGAAAAGGGGCTGAGCAAGTGCACCGAGTGAATTTTGCATCGGCCGCGCGTGCAGCTGCGTAACGCCTCGAAAACACGTTGATCGATCGAGAAAAGAGATTAACGAGGCTAGTTCGGTACGGTTGAGACCGATCGTTATACATATCGGAATAAATCGGATCAAGTATGGCGAAACGTCTTCCTGGCCACAAGCACCTTCTTACGAAACTTTTCTCGAGTTCCGAACGAAGCTCGAGGTACGATGAACTTTAATAGATTCTAGAAGAAGAGGAGGAAGAAGAAGCGCCTCTGCTGCATGCCAACAACTCGAGTCGTGGCTCTCGGTAAAACGATAAACTATGCAAAACGACTGGGGAAAACAACGATCCCTTGAATGCCAGAGAAAGCTTCCCCCTTTTAAATAAAAATCACCAAAGAACGATCTCAATCGTAAAACTGTCGGTGCATTACCTTTCGAACCCTCCAACTTCTTCCCTAACTGCAATTCGCGTCGATATTCACCTGGCCAAGCCTTAAATACACAAGTTCACAGAGCGATGCGTCCTTGCACGCGATGCATATTAACGGTAATACGACAGGTCGCTCGTGTTCAACTTCCAAGGCGAGTTACAATCTAATGGCCCGATTTCAGCAGACCTCGAGACCGTTAATCACCGTACAGAAGGGTCGCCAGCACTTCTCAGCCTCTACCTTAAGGTCAAGGCTACGATCTGTCTCGATTATTCTTCCCATTTCAATCCTTCTGCGTATTTCATTCGTTCCAAGTAATTATAGAAGAAGATCGCGACCTGACGTTACGGTCAGTTCGTCAAAGTCGCTTTCTACGGTCGCTCCACTCGATAAATTCGTTCCTCGAAAAAGTTTCTAGATACAATTCTCGATAAATCTTCGAGTTCGTGTCACCGACGAACCGGTTCCTGGACAATTACGCAACCTATATACGACGCGAAAGCGATTCTCGCCGATGTTTACATCGCTTGCACTCGGGTTCGACCTCTCGAATCTCTTCCTGGCTTAATACCAGGAGTCTCTCTCGGTTCTTCCGGTGTTCGATTCGATTGGGAATCCGTCGGAGCGCGTATCGACAGGTGTGTACAATTGCACGTGAGCCACCTCGAACGTATTACGCAACGTCATAGAAAGGTTGAAAGCGTCGGAACGGGAAAGTGGTCGCGGTTATCGCGTCCATTCCAGTCGAACGCGGGCTCGGTCAGATGCGTCAAGCGTCACTCGGTCGATTTCACGGGGGAAACTGGCACGTTCGAGGTGTTTTAAGGGGAACACCTTGGTCCATGGATCCGTTTCGCGAATGGAGATCAAGATCGTTCGAAATTACGCAAGGGGAAACTCGAACAACTGCGCTTCATTTACATGTAATTAAATAGAACGTATCTGCAATGGAAATGCACGCACAATCGTGCGAATTGGATTGCAACAATGTGGAGAAGGAAGGAATAACGCGTCACCTGGCTCAGATCTGATTTAAATATGAATCATATCAAGATTTATTCGCGCGGTCGCAGATTTCACTTGTAAGCATGAAGGAAGCGCCTGAAAATACAGGGGATGTGCCTATTCAGGAGGAACGACGATGTTACCAAGTCGCATTTCCCCTCTGGTTCGACCTTTCCCGGCTTGTTTCCTCGTGGGATAATCGTAGCAAGGTGCAATTTGCGGATAAATTGAAAATTTGTGCCTGCGCGCTACAGTTGCATCCCCGAGGGATCCCGATAAAAGTAGAAAGTAGGATGGTGGAAACGATCTTCGACCTAGAAGCAATTCTCTGTAAAGCAACGTGTCAGCCGACAGGTTGCAACCAGAACTGCCGCCTCTCACCTCTACCGAAACGATCGCTCGAAACTTTCACGGTGACCCTACCTCCTATCTTTTTCCCCTCGATTCTCCTCGGATCACTTCTTCTTATCCTTCTTATCGGCCACGTAAGGGCAAATAAGTCGCGGAGTAATTTAAGCGCGGTGAGTTTCATCGCGGTTGCTACCCATTCGTTTCACGGTTACAAAGGATGGTAACGGAGGGAAAAACTTGTTGGCCGTTTTATCCTGCGCTGAAGAGCCCCCCCAGGCGCGCCGCAAGGACCAACTTTGTGCCGTTCATCCCGGAATAAGTTAATATCGGTGTGTGTTCGGCACACGGGAAACCGGAAATTCTCGACCACGTCGAGGCTTTGGCAAAAATGAATACTCTACCTCAGATTACCCAGTTCCTGCGCCCACTCTCCACCCCCCATCTCTTTCCCGTTTCACCGCGAGTCCACCACTTACCCCCTCGTACCTACATCGCTTCCCTTTGCTCTTGCTTGCAAACTTTAATGGAGGAAAAAAGAAAAATGAGAAAGAGAAAGACGAGCATTATTTACTGTCCACTTTCTCCTATGGGAGGGAAAGAAGACAATACGCCAGCAATCGAAAGAACGTTTTCTTTGTTGCGCGATAATTAAGAAAGTTAAGGCCATCGATCATCTCGATCGCCACTCGGGGGAAATATTTATCGCGCCCTAGTGCTCCTCGATAGACCGTGAACTTGGAAAGAGAGTCTGAAACGGCCGATTTCCGGCTGCAACGATCGAGTCGTTAACAGATCTTACGACCGGTGTAAAGTCGCCGTTGACAGGTAATGATTCGGCAGGTGCTTCGATTTCATGAGAAACCATTCTGGAGCGCGTCGATAAACTATCCGTAACCTTTCTATTTCTTTTCCCCGCTTATCCGGCCGGGACTTGCTCAATCGTCTCTGCGTAACGCGTTCGAAATAGATTCGCTCGGTGGGTAATTCGTGAAATTGTGTGCAACGGAATGCGAATAATTTCATTCGAATTTGAATCGCCCGTAGACCACGAGTCCCTTTAGAATACAGGTTTACATCGCGATACAATCCTACCCAGAGGCTATTTATTAGCGCGATGATTAATACGCGGCTTCCTCCCTCGTTTATCTATCCTGCGGTAATTCATCAAACTCTGACGAGACAGTGATACAAACGAGGGGCAAATCTATTAGAAATTTTTCAACAGTCGGCAAAAGGTTGTAGGATAATGGGATTTCATTCTATTATCGAGGACAGATGGAAACGTTACTAATACCTGAACTCAGGTGTTTGCGTCGGACGAAACCTATTTCGAGGATTAGCCATCCGAAACGACACGACTAGGCAGCTTCCAACAGAGAAAATTCTTTCGTTCACATTTCTACTAATGGACAAACATACACGATGAATATGAATCACGGTTATATATAGACTCTAGCAATAGCACAAGCGGTGGCTGGATTTTACGAGCAAGAAATAAGCAGCGGCATTTCAACGACGCGATTTACGACACGATGTTTTGCCGATTCCACCAATTAAAATCAATTATTTAAAAGAGAATGTCGGTGAATTATTGCCGTGGAACAAACGTGAGCATCCATTTAGAGGCGTGTGAGGATTGGTTAATCGCGGGTTAAAGCGAGCAACGAAATGCCGCGATAAAAAGGTGGAGTGGAAAGGGCAACGACGGGGGAGGGAAGAAAAAGTGCACGCTGTGGAAATTAATTTCACGTTTTAATACACGGTCTAATGCGCTGCACCAGTTGTACGATGTAATTTCAGCCGCTCGAGATAAATGCAAATTTGTCGTAGAAAAAATTACTCTATTAAAATTTTCATCGGGCAAAAAAGCAAACAACCCGTACTGCAATTAGTTCGCTTGAATCATGTTTAATAACACGTTTCTCTGGTTCATCTCCTCGGTTTTCCATTACGTCTGCGAAACATCTGTTCCTTCGTGCTTTTCCAGAGGCATCGGAGGCACTATACTGTTCCTGATGCTATGCGCCACCATGTACGAATACAGAACGCCGCCGAAAACGAAGGACGTGGAATCGTCGAGCGTGTCGAATAACAACGAGAGGCTCAGCAATTTCTCCAATAAAAATCTGAATCAGGAGCGTCGCGTGGTCCAGGAGAACGGAGAGGAGCTGATCGAAAAAGGGAAGGTCCTGCAAAAAGATCCGACCGAGCATCCGAAAAAGGAGAGCAAGAAAGGTGGTGATCCTCGGGCCATTCTCCTCTACCTTTCTTAACGAGATTGTTTTTTCTTCTCCTCCGTTACTTTTCAGGCTTCTGGCTGACGTGCCTGATAGCGTTCAATCCCATCGTGAACGGAAGCAAGATCGTTAGCACCGAGCCCGCGGCCAGGGAGAGCCTAACCTGTCTACACGGACTTCGAGTGCTCTCTCTAGGATGGGTCGTCATGGTTCACACCTATCTTCAAGTTTACTCCATAGCTGGTAAATGTACTCTCCTTTTCTTCGAACAAGGTTACGGCGTCTGGTAACTGTGACAAGCGGAGCCTGTCAGCAGTAGCGAGAACAGGAGTTATTTCACTCGCGGTTATTAGTCTCCTGTGAAAATGCTAATTAGGAAAATGGTAACGAGGAGATTCCAGCATTGGTACACTTTGAAATCCAATTAAAACGTTCCACTTTCTATGAAAGGTGCTCGATGCAATTCGCGTTACGAGCTTATTGTGATGTAACAGAACGTACCGGTTTTCCTGATCCGCGTGTAATCGAGCCTCCGCTCCCTTCGATACTCGAGAGAGCCAAGCCTGACTTTCACCGATAATTCCGAAATGATGACTTTCTCTATCGCCAATTGCAGAGAACAAAACTCTACGCACGGTGACCGAGCGGAATTTCATGTTCCAAACGATAAGCAACGCAACCTTCTCCGTAGATACGTTCTTCTTCATCAGGTAAGACAGTCCACGGTGACAAATATCCCCATTCCGTGGATCGAACAGCTGCTAAATCCGCGGGGAACGCGATTCTTTCAGCGGATTACTGGTAACGATCTTGTTTTATCGATCTGCCGGCAACATGAAAAACGACAAGGACAGCTACTGGAAGACGTGCTTCACCAAATTTATCATCATGATCCTCTACAGGTTTATCAGGTAAGTAGAGCTTCTTTCCAAGTGCACTTATCGGGAAAGTTTAAGCAAGAAGAGGGGGGAAAATGTTCTTCTTCTCCGCGAGAGGAGAAAACGTTCAAGTTGGACAGCGCGTAGGCCATTGATCAAAACTGAAATCTGGCCAGGGGGAGGAGGATTATTCGCTCGCGTTCTTCTCTCCTCCCGTGATTACATAATCGCCGCTGACCTCTTCGAATTTCCTTTTTGCCAAGATTGACACCGGCGTATCTCTTTGTCCTGGGTATAAACGAGATCGCCATAAAGCACACGCTAACAAAGACCGTGTTCTCGCCGGTGATCATCGATCATTTGACCTGCGAGAAGTTCTGGTGGAGGAATGCATTGTACCTCAACTCGCTCTACCCTCGCACCGAAATGGTAAGCATTTCTTAAATTATATCTCGTTTGCCAAAATTTCAGGGGTCGTACGTTCTATTCAGAGAGTAGAGCTGTGAAACTCTGATGTTCTTGATGGTATAAAAATCGCTATTTCGTCGGAACTGTTTTTAAATCAAAGACACTCCCGTCTCGGGAAGATCACGGTATACCTGTTAGTAGGTATTAGCGCCGCAAATGTTGACTCGAGCGCAAACACGAGAGTACGCGTCGACGGAAACGGATGAGAGAGAAGGTGTCAGCGTCTCGATCGTTTTCCGATAATTAATTCTATCGTTGGGAGAAAGTTCCAAAGTGGCGGGACAACGCGGAACGTCTCTAAGCGTCCTAAAATCAATTTTCAACGCCGACAGAAAGACTCGGTTAATTATCGGTGAACTTCGCTTTCGGACTTTTAACGATCAAACAGAGAGAGAGAGAGAGAGAGAGAGAGAGGGAAGAAAAAACAGAAGAAAGAAAGAAAAACTCCATTGAATTTTTATCGAGCATACCCATCGACCTTTCCAACAACCAGGCGAGGTGTTAATTGCACACCTGTTATTGGCAAGCCATTCAGAAGAATGGAGAAATCTACGTATGTACTTATAAAACGCTGTCAGAGCGGTTGATCAAAACCATTGGTTAGTTGGGCGTTTGATCCATTAGCCTTTCTCGACCGTGGATTTTTCCGATATTCTCGTGGCAGACCTAGTCTGAGCTCGTTGAACCTTGGCGTAATTATCCGATGAATACTCGATTAACAACTTTCCAGTGTATGCTGTGGAGCTGGTACATGGCGAACGACACGCAGTTCTACGTTCTTGGAATACTTCTTCTTCTCCTCTCCATTAAATACATAAAGGTCGTCGTAGGCGTTGTTCTCTTCTTGATCGTCTCCTCCTGGTTCACCACCTTCTCCGTGGCTTACTCCAACGATTACGTCGCCAGGTAACATCAATCGTGAATATGAACTTTATTTTTCTCCTTTTGTCGCGTGTCTCGTTCTCCGTCGGAATGCACAACCTCGTCCGTTTATCGAGCAAAGAAAAGTTTCGTAACGCTTCTTGAGAATATGGGTCAATCGGGTTAAATTTGGCAAAGAGAAAAACGTCGACCAGCTAATTTTCAGTCTTCCTGTTTACCCTGACAGGGTATTAATTATTACGATTCGAGGAATACAACACTGTCCAAGAGGTTCCTCCAAGAAACGTTTAATCATCTCTCTCTTTGCTCTTCCACTCAGAATTCAAGAACCGTTCGCCCTTTTCGACGAGCTGTACGACAAACCCTGGCTGAGAGCTGGTCCCTACTTCGTCGGCATTATCACGGGCTACGTTTTGTTCAAAACGAATTGCAAATTAAAGTTGCCGCTGGTAAGTAGTTTAACCTCCTATCGAGAAATGTTTCCAAGTAGATCTTCGAAACGTCGAATGTAAATTCGCCGTTAAATCCAAGCGGATTCGCAGGCGATTCATGGGGAGATTAGAATCAATGGAGACCGGGCTGACTGAAGCTAATCTCTGACGAACTATTTAGCCGAGCAGAGAGATAGAGAGAGAGAGCTGTGTCATGTTTAACCTAGATCGGATCTAGACGAGATTCATCTGTTCTTTCAGGTCACGCGAACGATCGGCTGGATCTTATCCAGCGCTATAATGTTCTCGGTAGTTTACGGATTGTACCCCGGAAATTTAACCGTGCCCGTGAGCTCCGTATACGCCGCCTTGGGACATACGGCATGGGCGATCAGCGTATCCTTCATCGTGATTCAATGCTGCACTGGATCCGCTAGAATGATCGACAGCCTGTTGTCGCTCCGGCTGATGTATCCGCTATCGAGACTGACTTACTGCGCGTACCTGGTTCACCCCCTCATCATGATGATCACTGTTACTCAGATGGACGGCCCGTTGCATCTTCACAATAATCTCGTGGTGAGCGACAGTTTTTGGGAAAAATTTCAGAGATTTCAGTGTTTAGGCTTTCGCTCGTTAACCGAGTAGTCCAAATTTACTCCTTGCTCGACGTTTCGAAATCCACGTTCGTTTTGGTTTTCAAGCTGATCCTGTACTTCGGCAACCTGGTCACCTCCTATCTGCTATCGTTCTGCCTCTCGATCGCGCTCGAGGCACCCATAGTCAATCTGCTCAAACTCGCTTTCACTTCGAAGAAGAGGATAAGGTAGAAGGAAGATCGAACGTGGTGTATCGCGCGATCGACGGTGAGTAATGGACGGCCCGATTGCTCGCACAATAGACATACTTATTAAGAAGAAACGCCATCGATCCCTCGTTCCGTTCCTTCAGGAAATAATCGTGCCCTCGGCGAGCAACGACGAAGAAAGGGGAGAAAAAGCGCCCAACGTCTGCTGGATCTTCTCCGATGAAAATAAAAGCAGCTTTTCGTGCATCCATTTCCCCCACGACAATGCCACAGCTGCGTGACTTGACAAATTAGATGCCCGTACAACTCGATGCAATTTCATCGGGACGAATCGTTCGGCGTCTGGATTTGATTTACCCACGAATGGAACACGGAACACACGACACCGCGAAGAGAAGCCATCGCGAGTTAGCGTTCCTCGTAAACGATGCAGTCGGAACGTTGCCAGACAAGTTTCCAAGTATAAGTGAATATCGTATTCGATGTTAATTAAAAGGGACTCGAACTTATCCTCTCTTGTTTCAACTGTGAATGTACTCAACTATTTTACAATACGTATCTGTTGATCGCGAGACGAATTCTCTGTTCGTTGCGAAATATGTCAAAGATTTTCCATTGCAGAATCACGCAAGAGCGGAACTTTTCTACGGAGAAACCGAGCGTTTCACGCGTCTCGTCGCGTCTCGTACTTCGTCCATGTTGTAAAAAGTTCCCTTGTAAAGTAAATACCTGAGGACGAAAGAGTACGTCTCGCGTGTTATTTTATACGATTCCAGTAACAATAATACCATTGACCGTGAACAGATGCGCCACCAAAGTGTTTACAATGAGAAAACTTGGACGGAAGTTGGGCAAACAACAAATCGAGGGGACAGAGAAGAGAGAGAAGAAGAAACAGAGCAGAGCGTCACCAGCCTTGCTCGGCAATTTCAACGAAAACAGAAGAAATTGAAGACGCGGGTGGACGCGACAAAAGCATCGTGCTTTAAGACGAAACTTGGGATCAGTAACGTCAATAGTGCGAACGCGTTCGAGTATCAAGCTCGGGAGGAGAATGGTTGTTTAGAGTGGTGAATGGAACGGCCCGTTTTATAGATTATAGATACCGATATAGCTCCCGGCCGCGTGCGTACAATGTCTTTAGAAACAGAAACAATTTTACCATTTGTCCATTAAAAGAGAACAAGTAACATTCGCTCGATCTCAATTCAACCTGACTTTGTCTCGTCGAATTCAAGTGAGATTTACTGGGACACAGATAAAGGTTTTCCGCGTTGTTCTTTGTAAAAACGAACCGTGAAATCCCTCTGACGATCTTTTCCCGCTAAATGCCCGGCTGGAAAATATTTTCTTCGCGGAACGCAAGTGTCGAGTTGTAATTATTATCAGGTGACGCGTTTTTTACACCTTCGGAAAAATAAGTAACGAGCAAACGAGAACTTTTTATTGCCAGCACGTTACGCAGGAACGGTAACTCCCGCGAAAGGAAAAATGTTTTCTCATCCGGCCGAAACGACCCTGTAAAAACGAAATTAAACCGATTGAACTTAATTAACCCTTCGAGTAAAAAGTTACTCGCACGGATATGAAAGTTTCTCGCTTCTTCCACGTGTAATTTTCACGGTGTTTCGGAACGCTGCCCGGGGAGGTCTGCATTTCTGCTTTCATCTTTGAAAGAAAGGAAAAACGTAGAAAAATGGAATGCACGTAGAAACGAGGCCAGGTGAAAACAGCTACATTAACGAGGAAAGTATGTAAACAGCGGTATGCAGTAATACCTGCATACTATTTCTGCACGCGCGTTCAATCCTCGCGTGGCGCTTCGTGCACGGAAGCGCGCGATTAGTAATGCAATTAACGTCCCGTCAATTACGCCCGTATAATGTCCCGTTCACGCGATTATCGCGACGCGACACGGCTGTCTAGCACTTGCATAATTTGCCGGGCGCACCGCTTTTACCCGCACCTTTTTCTCTCCCCCCGTTCTTGCGAAATTCTTCAGGCGTGCCTGTGCATTTCACGCGGCACGCCTTTCTTCCCAACCGGTGGGACACCTCTCACGGTTTCCAAAGGATTTCAGAGAACATCGGGGGCTTTTCTGTGGATAAACAGTCCGTGAAACAACGTTCGAAAGTTTTCGAGAGGGAGAGAGAAGTTTCCACGCCCGAAACTCCAACAATCTGCCAGTAAGATTTTCCCAGTGACGTTTATAATTGTGTCGGTGATTTTACCCCGGTTATTCTCACAATTGCCCGTGGAATCGATTTCTTCCGCAAACTTGAATTAAATCTTCGCTTTCGAAACGGGAGTGTACACTCGAAAGAAAAATTCTGCCTCTCGGTTCTGCGGGTGAAACAGACTGTAGGAGAGAATAGAAGTTGTCGCGAAAGAATTTCCATTTTCGCTTATATCGATTCGTGTAACTGCAACGAGAATGGGAGACAAAGGAGCTGGGGGGTGTTTACAGTAGTCCGCGGCTAGATTTCTGGTTCGTTAATGAAATCGAATGCAAATCAGCAGTAGGGCTGCGCTTCGAATTTGTATTCGAGCAAATAGGCATGGTTAATCGGCGTAGTCGGCGCCGCTGTAACAGGAGGCTAATGCTAATACAAGTACGAGCATTCCTACATCGGCCGTTCAATTTACACGCACCCCCCCGCGCCGCTTCTAAAGCGAACAGTCCAAATTGAATTTGAAAATTTCGTCAATTTTCGATTGGACGCATCAGCGGAGCCGAAACAGAAGTTGTTAAATTAACGTTGCACACCGTAGCGTAGTTGGCGTTCGCTCCTCGATAATGTGTTACAGATAACGAATCGAGCCGCGTCACGCGTTATTTCCCAATCGAATATTCCGCGTGCACGTTGCACCAGCGTTAACGACGTCCGCGCGTTCGCATGTCCCGATTAACTCTAAATTATTCATCGTGTACGTACACCGCCGTGTAAGCACGTCTACCGTGCTGTTACGAACTAGCTGATGTATCTAGATTACACGTTTTTCGTCGCTGAGAAATTTCGTCCGAGGTGTTGTACTCGATACGTTCGATCTGCTGTAGTCGGGATGAAATTTTCAAAAGTTCGACGTCCAGTACGCGCGAATACTCGTCCATACGTTGTATATTCCAGGGGTGTGCGACAACTCGAAAATGTCGCGTCCCGAAAGTATCTCAGAATTCGAGAATTTCGGGATTCTCCAGAATTATAAGAAATAGAATATGTGATTGATGCGATTTATTTCATATTTTCGTATAGAAAAGCTAGTCTCCGATAATAGTTTCGTTCCACTTTCCCGAGATAAATTCTCGACCCGACATTTTCGGGTTCTCGCACACCCCTGGTATATTCGTGGTGAATTCGATTGTTCACGGTGGAAGCCTCGCATCGAGCCCAGGTCCGTTTCGAGTGATTTCGCGGTTGCACAACGTCAGCTCACGTTGGCGCATAGAAGGGTGAGGGCACGTGCTTTGTCGCAGATGCAATCGCTTTCATATTGTCACACGCATATCATTGGATTAACTTGGCAACGTAAGCGAAAGACGTAATCCTGCGTGGTGAACGTGCAGCGTTAGGGGAATATCGATAGTGCATTAATCATTCCCGCGTCGCGATATGTGTTCGACCGATTAATGCGTACGCGCCTATTGTCCGTATGCTAATTAAGATTTCGACAGACGGAGAGTTCGCGTTGACGGTGAAAATTTATGGGACGAGCTTTGCAACAGTTGGAAATTAATTCAGTCAGTGTACGTTTTAACGCACTTTTTTCGCCGCGGTCTTTACTTTCCGCGCTTCTGCCGACCAGGAATATTCCTCGAATAGCGGAGGCATGCAGAAATACCTCGTGTATTTGAAAATATTGCGCTTTAAACAAGATATATTCGTATCGGTATGCATACCCGTGCGGCGCCTTGCCTCCACGATTACGGAAATATGTACATGCACTTTCAGCCCTACTTTTTCATCTTTGTCTCGCTTAATTTGCCGCGCTTGCGTTTCTCCAATCCATTTCACCGCGATCCATCATCGGCTAAGTAAAAAACCACACGACTATTCCACGAGAAATTGAGCATTCCGACATTTTCCCCTCGGACGAATTCTCCGTACGCTATGAATTTTGATCAGTTTCGAACGATCGAGAGGGTGTCCATCTCGTTGCGGAATTCGCTGGATCTTAAAAGGCTGGATCTCGTGAAATTATTGGGGCAAAACGTGCATGGTGTGCGTACGCGGAAAGGCCTATTCTCGAAAAGTTACTAGAGCAAGGACTGCTCGACGAGCCACCGGGGCGAGAGATCTCTAAGCTCGTCTTCCACCCTCGTGCATCCGACTCACAGTCGTTAACCTCTCGCCTGGTGATTTTTTCAGACGTAAAATGCAAGTGACGTTTTCAAATGGGAGTCAGAGTAGGTTCGGAAATTGGATAAAATTTTATTTGAAAAATAGAAGAAAAATGGAATAGGTTCTACTTCGTTGGAACGCACCGTTGATTGACGTACACGAATGGAATCGAATTAATCAAAAGCTCACGTCCGGTCGGGGTATCGAAAACACATCAAGAAACGTATCGAAGAAATTGGCGATGGCGCAAGCGCCAGGACGTGGCGCGCAGCAAGAGTCGCATTTTCGCGAGCAGTCGGCCTAAAGCCGCCGCAGATCGAACACGCGAGACACGAGTTGCAGTGCATCGACCGGAAGTCACGAGGTTTCGCGGTGCAGCGTTCGCCACTGTCAAACAAGTGTTCTCAAAAAAAAAAACAAAAAAAAAAACAAAAAAACAAAAAGTAAGGACAAATAAGAGGAATTAAAAGCGAAAGACCTGTTTACCAAACTTGGGTCACACTCGCAAGTTGCGTCCATCTTCGAACTTTCGATGGTTCCTCGACGATTGCCAATCGAAAGGGGATAGAAAAATTGTTAAGAAAACCTCGGTGTTTCTCGGTCATAAACGGAACATATTAGTTTGCGACGGGGGACGAAGGGAGGATTAATCGTCGGTGGATAGGGGAACAGAGGACGCGAGACGTGACTCGACTCGGAGGGAGAGACGAGATCGACGAACTCTCCCGCAGACTTCCTGAAATACACGGGTGTCGTGTGTCGTGTCGGTGACAGCGTGAAATCAATGTCCGCCCTTCGATCTTCCCGCGACGTCCCATCGATCCGGCTAAACGGAAACACGTGCACGTCGTGACACGGAGGAACGAGTAAGTTCACCCTGCGAGTAAATTTAGATCGACCGGCAAATTTTTCTGCGAGTAACACAGGCGACAAGAACCGCATCCGAGAGGCACCTTTCGTCGATTCTCCAAGGATCTCGCAACAGTCCGGCCGAACGAGGTTGGAAAACTTGGCCCGCAAAGGAAAGGCTATCAGTTGGAGGATATTTATCGTGACGTGGCTGTGAATTATCAAACCGTTTGATTTATTCGATAGCGGACATCTATCGTCGCGCTGCCGTAAATTAAACGGATTTCTCCAAAGAGGTGGATCGAGGCAAGTTCAATCGACGATGAACAGCTGGGGATTTAGCATCGTGGAAGCGTGCACAATGCGGCCATTTTACACCGTATAAATCTTCTCTGCCAGTGAGAACGCCAAGGTACGAGAGCTTGGAAACTCCAGTTCGTTGACGCGCGTGAAAAGAGAGAGAGAAGAAAAGCAATCGACGAGGGAGAGACAGGTTTTGAATGTTTCAGAAGACACCGCGACATTTTTTCTCGGTTAATTAATCGCTCTTTTACATTTTCCTTCTCTCGAACGCAGCTCAAGCTTTTCATACTGACGTATCGGCTTTCGATAGTCCATTTCACTGGTAATTCGCGACACCGAACGGTTTCGACGGGGCCCAACCTTTGTTCTACGTTCGCCGTTGCCCGATCGACTGTTGATAATGTACAATAATCAGTGCATATCCGCCATGGACATCCAGTTTCGCGGAAATTCTCTGCATTATTTCATTACTCGACGTTTTCGCGGCTGTAATTGCAAGCGAGGACACTCGTCGAAGAATTGAGACTAAAATTCGATCGTCGATCTCCTCAGGCGACGATAATCAAGTTTCTCGCCGATCGAAAGTTTCCGACAGACAAATTTGCCCGTCTAAATGTGGCGGTATTGAGAGGTAGATTTTCAATTTCCTAGGGAAACTAGGCCACGCATATGTGCTCGAATTAATTTCGTGCGGTGGACCAAACAACGTGCGCTGTTTCGATATTTTTAAATCCGCGTTTCCGCTAGAGCCCCTCTCTCTTTCAACCCTATTTACACTTCCACGTCTGTATGCACTTTCGGATCGATCAGCGCTTCGAAAATACCCCTCTCCACCATTATTAGATTTCACTTGTACAGCCCGTATCGAAGAAATGAAAGAACCTGTACACGAATCGACATACACACGCAGGTGCACACCTGAAATACTCGCCACGCGTTAATGTTTTAATTAATCCGTCCTGTCTGATCGTCTGATCGAAATTATCTCCAAAGATGTGAATTCTCGTCGAAACGAAAAGGAATACGGGAGAGGTTTAATCGAAGCGCAGCCAGCCGGATAAACGCAACGGTCGATCGAACATATCCGCGGAAAGAGTTTATCGAACATCGGGTACTTGGAAATCTGTGGCGGCGCTGCACGCCGTCGCTTCGATTCAATTATCCCGGTATTCGACCGCTCCCGTTCTTTCCTCGCCGCTGTAAAATCGATAGTTGTGGCCGACGAAGAGGGCTGTTCGAATATTATTGCGCTAGTAGACCGCACGCGGCTTCAATCTCCAATTCACAATATCGTACGTTCGTGCTAATTTAACCGTGGCAAACGCGAAACAGGATTTCTGCTCTTTGTCAATCTTTCCCTGGACCGACTCTGGTCCCGGGGATCGATGGTATTTACAACGTTAAACACATCGTATCTGTACGCAGAGAGCACACGGTGCAGTTTCTCCTCTAGATGAAATTGTGGCGGAACTCCTTTTTTCCCGCAGTCGAGTAAATAAACCAGCCCCGGTGTTTCATAAAGTAATTTCGCCGCTCGCCTCGGGTTACGAAATGGTTTCAGAACCGGCACAGGCTCGGCTTCCATTCAAGTGAAATTCCGTCTAAAATTGATCGCGACCAGGTCACGGGGTTAACGAGACGTGAAACACGAATCTTGGATTCACAGATTCTCTGCACTCCGGGGCATCGTTTCTGTCCGACGAAGTGGAGAAAAGTTGCACGCGATCGTGAGCAAAATTTGATTAAAGATCGTCCCTTGTGATACATTCCCAGGATCGAGCCTTTCGCGTCACGCCGCGCCGTCCCGGTAATTAGAGTTGAAAAGTTGGGTAAAGTAGCATTGTCAACCTCGAGAGAAAAATCGAGGGAGAAATGCCGGCACCTTGGAGCGAGAAAATTTCGTAGGTTCGCCGTAGACCACTCGGGTCAAAGTGGAGGCTTTAATTTCACCCGCGACGTTGTTTCCATCGTTTCGCTGGAAATAGACTTGGTTAAAACTCGAGCGGGGAAACGGATCGATCGTAAAAAGCTAGCTTAAATTTTCTGAACGGAATTAGCTGAACGGAAAAAGGGAGGCGAGATTCCAAAGCGGGTCCAACTTTTATTACTCGCGTTCCTTCGCTCCGCTCCGATCTTTCACTTTCCATTT